CTAGCGCTAAGACTGAGAATGGCATGAGCTTTACCTCCATACCACATAAGGCATCTTTGACACGAGTTTGGGTCTCAGACCAAATATTTACAGGGACATACAGTGAATTTTAGTCAATATGTGCACACAGGATGGATACAAGACGAGTGTGAATTTTAGTCAATACGTGCACACAGGATGGATACAAGACGAGTTTCTACATTAGCTATAGCGGAAGATACGCCAAATACCGATCGACTTCCCGAAATTTAAACTTACAGCCAGTAAGTAATCCCCCTTGCGGAGTCCAGCCATGTCAGCCACTCCTCCCTGGTCCACATCATCCAGGTACTGCAGGGCAGGACAGCGTTCTGATGGTTGCAACTCCATCAGTGGGGACATGGCTTTAGCCCCCCGCAGGATAAATCCAAAGCCCTTACGGGCACGGTGTAGGATGACTGTGCGTGGCTCAGCGGGTAACCTGTGACACGCAGATTTCAGTCATAAACTTCCTAAACAGCTGCAATTCACAACTTTCGATATGACGCGATGTTGAGTTTGTTAGTCCCGACCAGAGTTTCCCAACTTCTTTCAGTGGAGGAACTCCCCAAAATAATTTTTCATACCCCGAGGAACCCCTACCTATGAAAACCCTTATGGCCGGAAAAAGTTGATAAAGCAGAGTGAAATTCAATTACTGTTAAATTACTGTCAAGAAACTTTATTTGGAAAGAGCTACTATATCTGTAAGACCAGCTTACATTTTAAGAACAAAACTGAATCAGTTTTCCTGTCTTTTTATTATATAACTTTTTTTTTAAATATCAAAATAAAGTTCACTTGAAAATCAAAATAAGGTTCACTTCCAAAGTCAATAAAAGGTTTACTTTCAGTGTGACACTTGGGCTTCTATATTTTTTGTTAAAATGTTGAATTCTTGGCTGAATTTTTGACAAAAAAAAAAAAACTCTCAGTTCTTCGTTGGCAGACAGCAGATAATTTCTTTCTTTGTTTTTAATGTTAAATCTTAAATACAAACTAACCACAACCAAGAGGCAGTTAATAATGCATGGAGATTACTCCAGTACTGCCAATCGCTGGACAAAAATTCCTAAGATAGTTTGAGGGATATCTGGAAACTTAGTGGTATTTCATAATTTCAAAATTTTTATTTATTTATTCCACGACTTTTCATGGAAACCCAGACGATGTTTTGCAGAACCGTGGTTCGGAAACATTGGTCTAGATGATACTCACAATACGCTACAGAGAACATAAATATATAAATACATAAATATCATCAAAATATTAATATTTCGAGATGTGATAAAACCACGTGGTAACAAGAACTGGACAAAATGGCCAGCACAGTAGGAGTCTGACGAACATCCACAGTAAAATGAATAAAATTCAATAAACCGTTCATGTGATGGAGCTCTGCTCTGTTACAGTCTCAATCGCCGGCATGTTTTTGGTATTACCACTGTCTGAGATACGTCTGATATGCAGGACTTAGGGAATTAGGCCACCCACGTTGCCTTGTGTTTAGCACATGAATCCAGGGCTCAGAACGCCCCAAGTTCAATGCCAACTGCCACAGCATATTGCCAACCAATCAACTGAAGATGGGAGCAGAGCCAACTCCGAATAGTTAGACGCATCAGTCCAGCATAATATTGTTATACTGAATGAACCGCTGTCATAAATGTTTAGAGAACCATTACAATCTTGTGATCTCAGGTCTCTATGAGAGTGCCTTAATCCTTAAATTACTGAGAAAATTCCTGGTGAGATAAATACTCTGAAATTAGTTTCCAGCATCAACTGTTAACTTACCATCAATGTTCAATCAAAACCCAAGATTCAAACTGCTGCTGACTTCTCTTACAAATATTTAATTTATACCAGCTGAGTGTATTTGTGAGGGAATTTTTTTTTAAACTGGTACGTATGAAATTTACTTTTTAATTAACATAAGTTAGAAGCAGAAGCTCTTATAATTTAAACCAGTAGAATTCAAGACCTCTGTCACAATTACGTGAACGTTGTGGCTTGAACTCAAGCCTGGATCAAAAATATATCTTGGCGTAACCATGGGTGCAGGAGCAACCACTATCGGCGGGTCTCACGATCATGGCGGAAGTCCTGGCTATGCCACGCAGAAAACATTTCACTTTATACATCAGAAATTGTAATTATTAGTTTGCGATAGCGTTAAGACATCTCTGGTGTATTACTCACTGCTTCTTAAGGCGTGGTGCAGTGGCAAAGTGCTTGTGCATCGATTCTCTGCGCCCCTGAATTCTGCTGGTTGTTCGCGAGACTGTCATTATGGAAGGCGGCGGCGGAGGCGGTACAGGTTGAGGAAGTGTCTGGGGCGGAACAACCTCCCGCACACAATGCGCAGGGAACAAGCCTGTGCCCTGCCCATGCAGCACACCCTCCAGCAGCCCACAATCTGTTGTACCAGTCACTGCAGAGACACAAGATGTATGAATGGTAGAAAACCACAATCTGGCATTCAAATAACAACAGTTTAGCTGTCGCATGTGGCACAGAGGATACGCCACTACCTAATTCCAGAAGAGTAAATTATGGCAGTAAAGACATTTCTTCTATGCATGGAAGAAATGTAAGTACCAAAATTATAATTAGATCTGATTCAAGTCTCGCTTTGAAGTTCTGGTTTGATTTATTGAAACTGCTTGACAGTCTCAACAATTACTGCAGTTGAGTTGACTGTAAAACCTAACCTAACCACAAAGAATACCATTTCTTCAGTCTGAGTCCAGGCAAGTGTTTGTCAGAACTCAGACCCCATCATAGAATTGCAAGAGGTTTTGCCATTTAAATTCTGTATGCATTTTGTACAGCCACGGTGGTCTAGCGGTTAGAACGCTGGCCTTGTAATCCTGGGGTCCGAGATTCGATTCCCGGCGGTGCCGGAATTTATCGTCAGAACTCAGACCCCATCATTGAGATAACATGCCAACAGTCGTATATCTCAGAAGTGGTGATATATGAATAAGTAAGCTAAGTACTTCGCTTTTCACACCAAAAATTCTACACAGGCTGCTCTCAGACTGAACCTAGGTCCTTCCTATGAGAAGCTGGCACTCTACTACCAGAGCCATGACACAGCCTCCTCCAACTCGTCTGTAATCCTCATTATATCTTCATATCCTTATATCCTCATAATCTACTTTCGCAACATCTGTCCCAATATTATCTGACCCTCAAAACTTCTGAACAACCACTTTGCAAGAGGTTTTGCCATTTAAATTCTGTATGCATTTTGTATATCCAGTCCACTAAAAGTTTTTAACAATACCAGAAGTATCCCTTGTTAACGTGACACATGCCGACTGCTTACCTTCCAAAATATCGCCTTGGGTTATCAGAAGGTGCCCAGGTAGCCCAGAACTGTAGTTCTCCAGGCAGACGACGGTCATGTTGGGAATCGAGACAGATCCTTGTGTTGTGGTGTCACTGTTAGATGTACCGACGCCAGAGCTGTCGCTGATGATGTCACTAGTGTCCCCGAGACTCTTGTCTGCAGGCAGCAAAAAGCCACCCCTGTAGTCCACATGTCCCCCCTCACCTACGGTCACACGTGTCCCACAGAGCCTCAAGAGGGCGTGTCTTATCATTCCTCATATACAAGTTACAGAAGCTTGACTGCGACACTGAGGAGATGACACCAGCATCTAAACGCATTGACCCTTTTAATACTACATGATTCATCAGAACGAGGCCATAATGGAAATAACCTGCTTGTCGGTCTCTATTCCTTTCTTCACTGTGGCTTCTTCCGAAGGCATAAAGGCAGCGATACCAAAGGTAAACCTTGCTGACTGAAACAGCGTTTGATACAAGGCATTTTCATGCAAAATTGCCTCTAGAATGTACATTAAAATAAATACTATACGACTCACAGGCTAACAGCATGTATGTACCAGCTGACATTGAAAGGGCTGAAACATTTTTACATCTCCCATTCAGCGAACTGTGGGACGAAAAATGTAAGATAATGCCACAGCAGATGCACACAGACTTTATTTATTGCTACTCGGTATAGCTTAACTCTCTCAGGTCCTCGTCAAACTCAGTTCAACATCTGGAGAATCACGTTAAAGTCAAATGTCAGACTGAGTTCGACAATTTTAAAATTCAGATTAAACAATTCTGACCTGTTAGAGTGTTACAGGATTAAGCCCAATGTTTATCCCCTTGGTGGTGATGGTTGCGTCACAGCCCCTACCTGTCACATAGCTTGCACTGTCCTCGACGCTGCGCTGAGTCGACCCACTGCTTGTCTCACTCAGACTCGACGAGGCCGAGCTGAAGGGCGGCAGCGAACGGTTCGATGGGGATGGGGAAGGTGGCATCTCCAAATTGAGGGGGTCTGACGGCATACAGTTCAGGTGTGGAAGGTTTTGATGATGGCTGAAATGGTGAGGATGGTGTTGGTGGTGGTGGTGATGATGAGGCGCCCCCCCACCCCCTGCTGTCCGACGGCGAGGGTTGTACCTGGGGGGCTCTCGAAACGGGACTGCAAACACAAGTGGGCCCGGCCCCATCAGTACCCCTCAACAAAATCATTATTTTCTACTTCAAAGATTGGGCATGCATGAAAACCCTCACAACTATTGGGGAGACACAAGCCCCAGTCTACAACCTGCACATCTAAGACGTGAAGAGCTGTGCATCAACTCAATTTCCAGGGACAGCGATTGGCTTCGATTGTTGGCAATGGATCCAAAGCACCAGAAATAATGAGAGGATAATTTCCAGTTTCGGCAGAATCTGAAGACACGTTAATGCTGTATGTGCAGTTGTGTACACACATATCATAACGTAAATGAAAGAGTGGCCAGTCAGTTGTATTTAGCGTTGCTCAAAATGGTGGAAGCAGTATGACGAATTTTATTGGGTGAACTGCATCAAAATTTCTATTCGAAGCCGCAAAACATCTGGAGACAACTGTTTCATTACCTCCCTAACCTGAACAAGTCTGCACATGGAACCAGCCTGTAATTATCACAGTCACACAGGGAACGTTTACTCAAACATCCCGGCAAGTCACTCTGACAGAGGAACCACATTTATCAGGGCAGTAGCCAAGGCTAGGACTGCACTGTGTCTGTGTACGGCTCAGTTTCAATTGTGAGGTTATGTAAGCAGAGGAGCTGCTACGAGCAAGCAAAACATTCCCCATCAAGTCAAGTCAGAGCTGTGTCCCACGCAAGATCTCCGAGATGTCCTCGTTCAATCTCATGGCATTTCATATGAAATAATGTGTAAACATTTACAAGAGAGACTTCCAACTTATATAAAGACGTAAATATTAGCACACATTTAAATATACTTAAATATATAATGTCGATAAAAAAAAAAGTGTTCAGGCCACAGTTATAGAAATTAATAATATTTTGTTGCGCACATTTTCAAAATAAAGACCACTGCATATTAAATTCATAATTACCATCTTGCATTAAACTTAAATATACCTGGTACAGGCTGACCACATATTTTTGACAGCATAAAGACACAAGAAAGAGGGAAATTTACTCTTCACTACATTTATCCAAATTTCGTGGTTCTATAACAAAACCAAGGGGCATTAAACAACAGGATATTAATCCTTGGTAAAAATTAATGACCTTCACAATGCTCAAGGTACTACAGAGCATCTGAATTAAATAAGTTAATTTAAACATCAAAACAGAAACTTAATGTGGACTTGAATCTTGTGAGTTGCAAGGGACGCAGCTGGCATTATAAGACAGTTATAATCAAACGCGAGGAGGAGGACATTTCCGAGATCCTGGTGAAAATCACAATTTTTGTGGACGTGTCGGTAACCCTGAAAAGCTGGCTCAGAAACTGAATTGGCAAGGGCGGGCGACACAGGATTGTACAAAACAGCATTCAGCAAACGCCAAAGCTAAACGCATTATTATTTTATTTGGAAGGGAGTACAGAGTTCGTTGCCTCAGCCGGATGCTGAAACTTAACGTGCCGCGTTCTGCGCAAGCATTTCTCAACTACGGGACTGGCACACCTGAGTGTCACGAAGGGATCTGCGCAAGCTCAGAAAAGGCCAACTATGCGGCAAACAGAACTGTCCGACCAATTTAACACAAACCTACACGAGTCAAAATTCTATACTGAACACGTGCCCGCTGTCCAGATACTTAGACCACAGACATAAGATCCTATACATTTGGGGAAGTAAAATATCACGTGTACAGCAATCTTCGTGTATTACTAAAAAGTGTTCAGCCTCACTTTCCAGTGAGATGGGAATATACTTCATTCTAATACCATAGCGACATCAGCTATGCTGTACATAAGAAAACTGTCCTATGTAGTGCATTATTTCAGTCGGCTAAATCATTTTTTGGTTTTATAACAATGCTGTTTCAGCTGGAAGATTACATACCACCACACGAACCGCAAAGATTGTCCTGAATAATAGATAATCAATCATGAATGAACAGGGAAGGAGTTGTGGTACATAAAGGCCACATCCCAGCCTCTGGTAAAGGGACTAAGGACAATCGAGGAATGTCATGAGGACAGCTGAGTCCAACAGAAGTAACTTCGATCTCACTAGGACTTCTTACCCGGTGTCCTACGTGAGCGATTAAATGCGAGCGGTGCGATTTGCGTGGGTGAAGCGGAAATATCAAACTGGCTGTTTGTGTGGCGCTGTCCTAGGTTACAGCGAATCAGTCAAGAGAGTAAAGCGGCCGGATTCCGAGATCAAATATTTTGATATTTTCGCGCGAATCGCAGCGCTGGCCGGGAAGGCGCATGCGCAGATAAGCTCTGACTGTGCAGTACAGGGAAGGCGTGGCATCCCAACAATTACTTCATTCACACACAGAAGAAGGCAATGGCAAAGCACTTCTGGATCATCTGCCAAGAACGTATATGAACAGGTCCCAGTCCGAGAAAAGGATGGAAGGATCCTGTTCATATGGACCTGTCGTCAGACAGAACACTAAATAAAATAAAAATAATGCATTTTGTATATCCAGTCCACTAAAAGTTTTTAACAATACCAGAAGTATCCCTTGTTAACGTGACACATGCCGACTGCTTACCTTCCAAAATATCGCCTTGGGTTATCAGAAGGTGCCCAGGTAGCCCAGAACTGTAGTTCTCCAGGCAGACGACGGTCATGTTGGGAATCGAGACAGATCCTTGTGTTGTGGTGTCACTGTTAGATGTACCGACGCCAGAGCTGTCGCTGATGATGTCACTAGTGTCCCCGAGACTCTTGTCTGCAGGCAGCAAAAAGCCACCCCTGTAGTCCACATGTCCCCCCTCACCTACGGTCACACGTGTCCCACAGAGCCTCAAGAGGGCGTGTCTTATCATTCCTCATATACAAGTTACAGAAGCTTGACTGCGACACTGAGGAGATGACACCAGCATCTAAACGCATTGACCCTTTTAATACTACATGATTCATCAGAACGAGGCCATAATGGAAATAACCTGCTTGTCGGTCTCTATTCCTTTCTTCACTGTGGCTTCTTCCGAAGGCATAAAGGCAGCGATACCAAAGGTAAACCTTGCTGACTGAAACAGCGTTTGATACAAGGCATTTTCATGCAAAATTGCCTCTAGAATGTACATTAAAATAAATACTATACGACTCACAGGCTAACAGCATGTATGTACCAGCTGACATTGAAAGGGCTGAAACATTTTTACATCTCCCATTCAGCGAACTGTGGGACGAAAAATGTAAGATAATGCCACAGCAGATGCACACAGACTTTATTTATTGCTACTCGGTATAGCTTAACTCTCTCAGGTCCTCGTCAAACTCAGTTCAACATCTGGAGAATCACGTTAAAGTCAAATGTCAGACTGAGTTCGACAATTTTAAAATTCAGATTAAACAATTCTGACCTGTTAGAGTGTTACAGGATTAAGCCCAATGTTTATCCCCTTGGTGGTGATGGTTGCGTCACAGCCCCTACCTGTCACATAGCTTGCACTGTCCTCGACGCTGCGCTGAGTCGACCCACTGCTTGTCTCACTCAGACTCGACGAGGCCGAGCTGAAGGGCGGCAGCGAACGGTTCGATGGGGATGGGGAAGGTGGCATCTCCAAATTGAGGGGGTCTGACGGCATACAGTTCAGGTGTGGAAGGTTTTGATGATGGCTGAAATGGTGAGGATGGTGTTGGTGGTGGTGGTGATGATGAGGCGCCCCCCCACCCCCTGCTGTCCGACGGCGAGGGTTGTACCTGGGGGGCTCTCGAAACGGGACTGCAAACACAAGTGGGCCCGGCCCCATCAGTACCCCTCAACAAAATCATTATTTTCTACTTCAAAGATTGGGCATGCATGAAAACCCTCACAACTATTGGGGAGACACAAGCCCCAGTCTACAACCTGCACATCTAAGACGTGAAGAGCTGTGCATCAACTCAATTTCCAGGGACAGCGATTGGCTTCGATTGTTGGCAATGGATCCAAAGCACCAGAAATAATGAGAGGATAATTTCCAGTTTCGGCAGAATCTGAAGACACGTTAATGCTGTATGTGCAGTTGTGTACACACATATCATAACGTAAATGAAAGAGTGGCCAGTCAGTTGTATTTAGCGTTGCTCAAAATGGTGGAAGCAGTATGACGAATTTTATTGGGTGAACTGCATCAAAATTTCTATTCGAAGCCGCAAAACATCTGGAGACAACTGTTTCATTACCTCCCTAACCTGAACAAGTCTGCACATGGAACCAGCCTGTAATTATCACAGTCACACAGGGAACGTTTACTCAAACATCCCGGCAAGTCACTCTGACAGAGGAACCACATTTATCAGGGCAGTAGCCAAGGCTAGGACTGCACTGTGTCTGTGTACGGCTCAGTTTCAATTGTGAGGTTATGTAAGCAGAGGAGCTGCTACGAGCAAGCAAAACATTCCCCATCAAGTCAAGTCAGAGCTGTGTCCCACGCAAGATCTCCGAGATGTCCTCGTTCAATCTCATGGCATTTCATATGAAATAATGTGTAAACATTTACAAGAGAGACTTCCAACTTATATAAAGACGTAAATATTAGCACACATTTAAATATACTTAAATATATAATGTCGATAAAAAAAAAAGTGTTCAGGCCACAGTTATAGAAATTAATAATATTTTGTTGCGCACATTTTCAAAATAAAGACCACTGCATATTAAATTCATAATTACCATCTTGCATTAAACTTAAATATACCTGGTACAGGCTGACCACATATTTTTGACAGCATAAAGACACAAGAAAGAGGGAAATTTACTCTTCACTACATTTATCCAAATTTCGTGGTTCTATAACAAAACCAAGGGGCATTAAACAACAGGATATTAATCCTTGGTAAAAATTAATGACCTTCACAATGCTCAAGGTACTACAGAGCATCTGAATTAAATAAGTTAATTTAAACATCAAAACAGAAACTTAATGTGGACTTGAATCTTGTGAGTTGCAAGGGACGCAGCTGGCATTATAAGACAGTTATAATCAAACGCGAGGAGGAGGACATTTCCGAGATCCTGGTGAAAATCACAATTTTTGTGGACGTGTCGGTAACCCTGAAAAGCTGGCTCAGAAACTGAATTGGCAAGGGCGGGCGACACAGGATTGTACAAAACAGCATTCAGCAAACGCCAAAGCTAAACGCATTATTATTTTATTTGGAAGGGAGTACAGAGTTCGTTGCCTCAGCCGGATGCTGAAACTTAACGTGCCGCGTTCTGCGCAAGCATTTCTCAACTACGGGACTGGCACACCTGAGTGTCACGAAGGGATCTGCGCAAGCTCAGAAAAGGCCAACTATGCGGCAAACAGAACTGTCCGACCAATTTAACACAAACCTACACGAGTCAAAATTCTATACTGAACACGTGCCCGCTGTCCAGATACTTAGACCACAGACATAAGATCCTATACATTTGGGGAAGTAAAATATCACGTGTACAGCAATCTTCGTGTATTACTAAAAAGTGTTCAGCCTCACTTTCCAGTGAGATGGGAATATACTTCATTCTAATACCATAGCGACATCAGCTATGCTGTACATAAGAAAACTGTCCTATGTAGTGCATTATTTCAGTCGGCTAAATCATTTTTTGGTTTTATAACAATGCTGTTTCAGCTGGAAGATTACATACCACCACACGAACCGCAAAGATTGTCCTGAATAATAGATAATCAATCATGAATGAACAGGGAAGGAGTTGTGGTACATAAAGGCCACATCCCAGCCTCTGGTAAAGGGACTAAGGACAATCGAGGAATGTCATGAGGACAGCTGAGTCCAACAGAAGTAACTTCGATCTCACTAGGACTTCTTACCCGGTGTCCTACGTGAGCGATTAAATGCGAGCGGTGCGATTTGCGTGGGTGAAGCGGAAATATCAAACTGGCTGTTTGTGTGGCGCTGTCCTAGGTTACAGCGAATCAGTCAAGAGAGTAAAGCGGCCGGATTCCGAGATCAAATATTTTGATATTTTCGCGCGAATCGCAGCGCTGGCCGGGAAGGCGCATGCGCAGATAAGCTCTGACTGTGCAGTACAGGGAAGGGGCATGCGCAGGAAGGCCGTGTGTTTCTCTCACCTAGGACACAACAAGCGATTCCCTTATGTCATATGACACCCCATGCTGCTTATGCAGCTCGCACTGCTCGCTTCTTATCGCTTACGTAGGACATTGCCTTAGAGGTCAGGTACTTATGCAGAAAGCAGGAAATCCTCATTCACTCATTGGCCAAACAAAAAAAACATCTTTCAAAGAAACCGAAATAATGCACTGTATAGGACAGATTCCTAGACACATATCTCGGTATATGATATATGGTCTAGCGTGTACACAAACACTGCACACCACACACAAAGGCTACTGCAATAGACGAATTATATACCTGTTAATAACTGGTGCAGTTGCCTCCAATTTCTAGATTCTAAGTTAGCGACAGAGCAAGGCAAGCACCGTAACCCATTAGTAACCACCAACTACTGTTACGTGGGCCTACACAACCATCACCACCAAACCAACCCAAGACACAAGCAAGCACAAACACAACTTTACCAGGTTTCAATTACTCATTTTACTCACAAATAATATTGGCGGACAAAGAGGACGAGATTCTATACACACCATAAACACAGAAAACCGTCTTTATGATACAATGTTGCAAATGCATTTCATTACCGACCACTTTGAGCTGTGTTCACGTAACGTTCGCGGCTAACACGATCTGCTTTTGGTCATGTTATAAGCATATAAGATTTAAAACTTTAATTCCAATTAAATCTTCTTCAGACAACCAGCCGAAAGAGCATAAAATTATTTTCCAACTTTTCAGGGACTGACATGACGAGTAATGCAAATGCTCATTGTATTAATACACGCGCTAGCTCTCACCGCTCAGTCTCCCTGTCTGATACTGGACCAATAAGAAACAGTCAGCAGAGTCATGTAGTGACTCATCACAGTCGACATTGCTCAACCTGGAGAAAATGTGTTGCTGGACGTTGTTGATATTCCCAACCTTTCCAAATTCAATTCAATTAATTTATTTACGTGTTTGCCAACAGCAAGAATGTTATAACAATAATAATACTAATATTATTATTATTATTATTTATCCTTCTATCTACACAAATTTATTCGATATGCTAATCAAGACAACTTTTTACATGAATGAGTACTACGCTACTTAGTCGCAAAGAATCAGCCTTTGGATCTGCTATTCACTTCATTCTGCTAAAACAACATACATTGCCTGCATTTTCCTCAAGTTTAAAACATATTTGAAAATTCAAGTTTTCAAACTTTATACTTATATAAAAAAAATTATATCTTAATTGCGTCATGTTTGTTGCAGTTTATCGTCTGTGGATATCAGACGTCCGACACATCACAATACAACCTGATAATGAACATCAAAATGCATACTCCAAATCAAGATGAAGACTGAAAATTAAAAATCAATAAACGCAATGCACAAAAATGTACAATAGTTTTTAAAAATATATGAATTGATAAGCCTGATGATGATGTGGTTAACATCGAAACATGTCGTCGAAATCAAAAGCGCTGTGATAAATGTAATATTATACGACACAGAAAAGCGCCATAAAATATAACATAATGCAATTTATATTGTAAATGTTATAAATAATTTTAACAACATTATTTTAAAACAAGTTTTGTGTATAGACTGGAAAAATAAATATATGTATTGTTATAAAAAAAAATGTTTGTGCGTCTTCTGTTTTATTAAAATATTTAATGTTCCGCTTCTGCAATCACCTTCTTTTGGTCTCCACCAAATTTTTATTACAAAAAACTGACTTTACTTTCTCCTTCATGTCACTGTTATTTTAAACTTCCTGTTCCATGCATTTATTATTTCACATTCTCCTACAGAATGATATATAAGCTTGGGCAATGCGAGTGTTTTGTTTGAGAACTGTTCGACTTGACTTCCTTTATTTCGTGTCCTCACTCCTACGAGGGTAACCTGATACTGTTGTTTGACATGCCACTGAAAATAAAATCCCTAGCAGTTCAATTTGGTACACAATCCTCAGAAGATCCGCAGACAAGTCTCTCCTCATTCACTACTAGATGGCTCTAGCAGACAAATCAGGACTGAGTAAAAATTGTGCAGAGACAGTGGGACTGTCACACACCACTCATAAATGCCAAGGCTCGGCTTCGGGCTGTAGTGCCACAGTCAGTAAGTCGATATAATGGGAAATACAGGAATTTCTTATATAACACAATCACAGACATTTTATCACAGGGGCAAATGTCTCGACTGATGCGTAATTATAAGGATTTACCCATCGCTCCTTGGTGCATCAAACATTTGCATACTTGCATTGACTTACTGAACACCTTTCACACCAATATAATCCTCCCAGCTACGTCTTCCAAACGGCCACTTTCCAAGAGGATCGCCCTAAAAACTTCTGTACGCGTTCCTCGACTACAAATATGAACTACACAACGCAAACAATCACAACTTCTGAAAATGAATCCTACAATGTGGACACAAAATTCGAAATTAATTTAATATAAACTGCGGAAAATGCGCATGCGACTGGTTGTATCCCACCCCAACGTAATCGACAAACTGCAATTATGAAACCTGGTAAAGCGAGACGGCACTTACTAAGGTGAGAAACAGACCCAGGGGTAAAGATGTGCCGTGCCCCTGGGGTTACCCCGCTCTCACCACGACCATGCAGAGAATTTGACAAGGCGACTCACCGGTATCCTCAGGACGGTGGCTCTGTATGATCTCGGCAAGCTCCAAGTTGCCTGCAATCACTGCCACCTGGTATGCAGTCTGGTTGGAATAGTTGAGCGCATCGCGCTCACAACCCCGAAACAGAAGCAGACGCGCGCAGCTCTCTTGGCTGTTCACAGCGCAGACGTGCAGAGGGGTATTGCCGGATGCATTGCGTGCATTCATGTCTGCTCCATAGAACAAAAGCTGCTCAAGATGCTGCACCAGTCCGTTCCGACAGGCCTGCACACAAATCTCACCTCAGAAATCCCTCGTGGTAAACACAACCCACTGAAAATGTACCCTGCTTTGGAACAACTTACTCGCTAGTTAATTAGCTAAGGAACTAAGTAACTAAACTGCCTGATAACACAGCGTTCAGCGCCTTCAACAGCATCACTACGTCACAACCTGAACACCTTCATATAACGTTTCAATACGAACCATTTAAACATTACACAGTGTATTCCTTTGTAATGTTGTTGTGTTATGTTAACGTCAAATTATTCTGGTTGATCTGCCTGCCCCTCCCATAAATTTCCCCCCCCCCC